CAGGCGTGCCCCACTACCAACCACATTGAAACCTTCGCAAACACGCATCTTCAGCAACCTCCACACTCTAAGGCTGCAAGACTGTGAAGATACTTCCTTATTTTTGGAAATTTTGGCAGATTCAGGGCAGAAAATCCAGTTACGGACCCTTGAATTGACATTTCCAGACCTTTTGGAACCCGGTGCGGTGCAAGGAATTGTCAAGTTTCTCAACTCCTTTCAAGGCCTCCAAGAGCTGTTTTACCTTGCTGTTGACGTTGAGATCTTTTCTGATAGTATTGCCAGTGGCATTCTCCATCACCAATCCTCCCTACGCCGATTGGTATATCATGAAAGACAGACCCTATACCTTGATAACAATTATTTCGACTCGTACGAGGGTGACGCTGATTACCGCCATGAACTGGATCTTGGATCTTTGAATATAAACCATGATCAGGATGTCGCTTCCTTTGCAAGGGCCGAATTACGCCAACTACTAAGCAAGTGTCATCTCGAATATCTTGGACTGTGTGAGCGGCCTGAAGTTTTAGTAAGACTTTCCCGTCTGATGTCATTCATATACGAAAATTTGCCAGTCACTGTGCAGCTGACGACAGTTAATACAGAGATTGAGACTCCAGCATCTGGTGACTAATACGTCGTTGAAATTACTGCACATACGTGCAGGACATAATCCAATTGACTTTCTGGCACCCGAGGTGATTGCCAGTGAGCGTCAGTGTCAGTTCCACTATCTCAATAAAGTTATTAGAAACTTACTGTTGGCAGTTCCGGAAAAGTTCGCAATGTTTGCCTATCCAATAGTTCCAATGGCTACAGAAGAGGAGATCTTAGCCTTCGCTGAATGGGCCTTTGGCCCAAAGGGCCTCCAAAGTCTTATCATATTAGCTTACGGCAACTTTGCAGAGGGTGACAGCAATAATAGTTATATTTATTGCAGAAGTTCGGTTTTAGAGAGAGGATATGAAACAACTGACAACTCGGGCAAAGTTATGCCTTCATTTCGGAAGATGACGATACAAGATGATTACATGTGGAATTTCGTCCCAAAGGGGGTCCACTTTCCTAAAAGAGTGCAGAGAATATCCACAGGTGTTCTAGATGTTGATGCTGTATGTAGTCTTTCAAAGTTTTCATTCCTACCAGAGAATAATGTTGAGCATTTCTGATTCATTGTTGATAGGACAATTATCCCCTTGGAAGCTCTATCGAATGGGGCTGAGTCTTTATTTAGTAGCTATCTATTAACTAGATCTAAGCTGGGAAAGAAAAAAAAACCTTACTATCTGAGAAGGTCGTTCAGTACAATAGTTGACCGTCGCTACTACCACGCGACTCAGCAGACTAGAAGAGATGTGACGCATGTGATCAAGGAAGATGTCGATGAGACGCTGTATCTGGATATTATAGTTACTTGCTCAAGACTATCTTCTTTTGTCTATCCCCCATCCTTCTGTTGCAATCATTGTAAGTATACTGTTTGTAGGCTCTGTCAGATGCTGGAGGAGAGACGGCACCTGGGTTGATTACACACCTAATGTCTTGATTCAGCCACAGGACCAGACCAGGTTGCTTTCTTTTTGGGAGGGATGTTGAGAATCCTACCTATAGGTTGCTGGGCTTTCAAATAAAGAGGACTGTTTCTTTGTTCAATGTGGATATATGGACAGTACTTGTGACCAGTCTGATG